GTAGACCAATTCTTGTTCGTGTGAGCCTATCTTATCAACCAGTATCAAGAAGCCTACCTAACGTCAGCCTGACTCGACCTACTCGACGCCATTTTTAAATAACGTGCGACCTTACGAGCTATTGCATTTTTATTTCACAAGTACGCTTTTTATCGCCATGACGGTCTCCAACCTCCAACAGCAACCTTTGTCACGTCCAGGCGAGCATATTCACACAAATCAAAAAATTCGTCACGAACGCCGAACACACATCCTCATTCGAGCTACCATGGAATGAAAGGAATGGAAGAAATGGAAAATAGCTTGATGCCCTTCACGCGACAAAAATACTAAGCTGTACGCGGCGCGTTGCTGTTAAAGCAGACGCCGGACACGTGCAAAGCGATGCTAAATACCTCTGTGAGTGCATTTTTCAGCGTATGACCCCATATGATCGTTTAGAAAAAAAGAAATTTTACAAAACTTATCAAAATATTCAAATATTTATTCTTCATTGTATACTAAGTGACATATAAATCCGAACACCCAGTTTAAATGGTTTTATTTTAATAAAATTTTGTATAAGTACTTAATGAAGCATAATAAGTAAATGATAAAAATTTCAAAATGATTGCACTGCTTTAAAGCCCTTTGACCTTTAATAATGTGTGGATGCACCCTGATGTGCTACGCATTCTCCAACGCGCCTAGGCATGCTTCTCATCAGGTGGTCAATGTCCTCCTGTGGTATCTCATTCCAGGCAACCACCAACTCCTCTCGAAGTGCTTCTAGAGTCTGAGGAGGACGTTGCAAATTGAGCAACCTCCTACCCATCATATCCCACACGTGCTCAATTGGGGATAAGTCGGAAGATCTTGGTGGCCATGGTAACAATGTGACATCATTATGTTGAAAGAAGCCTATTGTGACTCTTGCAGCATGTGGTCGGGCATTATCTTGTTGGAAAGTAGGATCTGCCAGGGTGTCAAGATAGGGTAAAAGATGGGGTTCTAGAACTTCATGGATATAACGCTGCGCGTTCATGTTACCTCTGATGAAGGTTAAAGGTGACCTGGAACCATAAGCTATAGCACCCCAAACCATAACTCCAACAGTGTGATGAACATGTCTTTTAACAAAAAACTGTGGATTCCTCCTTTCACCACGTCGCATTTTAACTCGGGCACGACCATCGTGCATGCCTAAACAAAATCGAGACTTGTCACTAAAGACAATACTGTTCCATTCCTGATCCCAGAGTGACCGTTGTCTGCACCACTCAAGGCGATTACGTCGGTGTTCTCGAGTTAAAGGGAGGACCCAGTGTGGCCGGTATGAAAACAAGCCAAAACTTCTCATTCGTCGGTTCTGTAAACCATTCATTTGCAATGGACCTGGTAGTGGAGAAACGGTCCCTTAAGGCCAATAATCTTAGGCGGCGATCTTCACGGTATGTTGTTCTACGGCGGCGTCCAGTGCCCCTTGCTCTTTGCGTACGGCCTTCTCGAAGCCATGCCTGACAACACCTAACCACAGTGTCTACACTTCTTTGCACTCTAACTGCAATTGCCCGAAAAGAAGGTCCAGCTTCCCGAAGTCCCACTATACGGCCCCTATCAAACTCACTAAGTTGACGAAATCGTACAGGTCTCCGTACTCTAGGCATCGTAACCGATCGTAAAGGATGTCAAGAACCAAAATCCGCCAACGTTGATTCTTTACTGCGGCTGAAATATTCATTTTCAGAGCGTTAGTGAATTAAAAAAAAGCAGTATAAAAACCCGAATGTCCAACTGAAAATTTTTTCACTTATTATTTACAGTAAGATAAATACATTCACCAACTTTTATTAAAATAAAACCATTTAAACTGGGTGTTCGGATTTATATGTCACTTAGTATACTTGTTTTTTTGACATTGTGTAGGATTTTCGACAAGATGTTAACTTAGCACTTATTGTACGTGTTGCCTAAACATCACGAGGCTTCAGTTATCAGTGTGTGGCTCTGATGTGATGTAGAATCTGCTTCAAAGATGACATTACTGGAGATTCAAAGCTAGAAATTAGTTGAGCATCCACTTTTTCTTAACCACTCTGGAAATTACATATGCAAATTTGCTGAATTTCAAAAATGAGAGAGATAAGAAATATTTATATTCACTGTACACTGTCGAATTACAAGCCATATACATGCTAACAGTAATTACACACAACGCGGGCGCGGTGATGATTTCCCGTAATTCTCCTCAAAGTTTTTCGTAATTTATAACTTTGAACATAACCTGTCTTCAGAAAGGACAACATATAAATAACCCGTAGGATACAGCTAAAAGATATAAGGTACCTGTAGCAAATAAGGAAATGCACCTAATAAGGCCATGCGTCGATTTCTCAGAAAACCATTTAAACTGGGTGTTCGGATTTATATGTCACTTAGTAAAAGGTATCACACTCGTACTCGTAAAACATATAATGGGTGATTTTTTGCTAGTATCTTTTTGGCAACACTGTTTTTGACAGATGACGCGTGAATCGTGTCTTGTGTCATTGTCAAACTTCAGTTTAGTCTATAATTTAACCATGAATCGACTTACGAACGAACAACGCTTGCAAATTATTGAATTTTACTATCAAAATTCATGCTCGGTTAAGAGAGTGCATCGAGCACTGCTTCCAATTTATGGGCAATTTGGTCGGCCTACTGAGGGAGCTATTCGGAAGCTTGTGACTAAATTTTGAACCCAGCTCACATTATTGGACGTTAAACCACCAACACGCAGACGTAGAGTGAGGACTGAAGAAAATATTGCGGCTGTATTTGCCAGTGTTAGTGATGACCGTGAAATGTCGATTCGCCGCCGTTCGCAGCAATTGGGCCTCTGTTACTCCACTACGTGGAAAATTTTGCGGCAGGATTTGGGTGTAAAACCTTATAAGATACAGATGGTGCAAGAATTGAAGCCACACGACCTCCCACAACGTTTCCAATTTGGTGAATGGGCGTTGGCAAAGTTGGAGGAAGATCTACATTTTTATCGAAAAATTGTGTTCAGCGACGAAGCTCATTTCTGGTTGAATGGGTACGTTAACAAGCAAAATTGCCGCATCTGGTGTGAAGACCAGCCAAAAGCATTGCAAGAGCTACCAATGCATCCCGAAAAGATCACTATTTGGTGTGGATTATGGGCCGGTGGCATCATCGGGCCGTACTTCTTCAAAGACGACAATGGCCGGAACGTAACTGTGAATGGCGAGCGCTACCGTGCGATGATAACAAACTTTTTTTTGCCCAAAATGGAAGAGCTGGACTTGGCTGACATGTGGTTTCAACAAGACGGTGCCACATGCCACACCGCACACGAAACAACGGCCCTATTGAGAGGCGAGTTCTGTGAACAGTTTAGCTCACGTTTGGGGCCCGTCAATTGGCCGCGCAGATCGTCTGATTTAACGCCGTTGGATTATTTATTGTGGGGCCATGTCAAGGCTAATGTCTACAGGGATAAACCAGCAACGATTGACGCACTGGAAGCCAATATTGAAGCATTTATTCATGAGATATCGGCCGATATGTTAGAGAGTGTGCCAAAATTGGACCTTGCGCATGGGCCATCTAAAGCGGTGCCGCGGCCAACATTTACATGAAATAATCTTTAAACATTAAATTATATCGACCGTTCTATCGACTCAAATAAAGATTTCATCGATTTTTCAAATTTTTTGTGTTTTTTTTTTGAAAATCAAACCCTATACCTCTTAAAAAATCACCGGTTATAACATTAGATGAATGAATAAATGAGTCACAAAGCGTGCCGTGACATAGAAAAAAATAAATACTCTTATGGAATACCCCATAGAGGTGGCAGGAAGTAAATCAGAAAACATAATTTTATGTACTTTTCTATAACTCTGAAGAGCAGGAAAAGAATGTCTGTGTCGAAATATTATTTAAGCATGGGATGCTTCTAAGCGTAAATAGCTTTTTGTTTTCTATAGGTAACGTTTCCACCCACACCTTTTCTGTCCTATTAAATAGAATGCATTTTTGATGTTTTCTTATGTCTGTAGGCACGCGTTGTAAGATTTCTGGCCTAACATATAGTATACTTTTATTTGGTTTTGGCATTATAATTTTAGATGGTTTGCTTTGTGTATCACACTCGTACTCGTAAAACACATATAACATTAGATGAATGAATAAATGAATCACAAAGCGTGCCGTGACATGGAAAAAAAATACTCCTATGGAATACCCCATTGGGCTGGCAGGAAGTAAATCAGAAAACATAATTTTATGCACTTTTCTATAACTCTGAAGAGCAGGAAAAGAATGTCTGTGTCGAAATATTATTTAAGCATGGGATGCTTCTAAGCGTAAATAGCTTTTTGTTTTCTATAGGTAAGGTTTCCACCCACACCTTTCCTTTCCTATTAAATAGAATGAATTTTTGATGTTTTCTTATGTCTGTAGGCACGCGTTGTAAGATTTCTGTCCTAACATATAGTATACTTTTATTTGGTTTTGGCATTACAATTTCAGATGTTTTGCTTTGTGTATCATAATTATGGTCTAGATATGTACCTTCACGAATCTTAAGTATAATTTGATAGAAATACAATTCACGCGAATCCAAAAGATCTGTTATGCTGAACAGTTGTCGGATACCTCATGGTTTATTATTTGTATCTATCTTCTTCATAATAATTTTTTTATGACAAAATTCATGTGAATATCTCACTTGAGATGGGGACTTATGAAGATCCCAAGGTGTCTGATAGTTAGACTTCGTTAAATTGCTATGTACTTAGGGTGACCTTGGATTATAAGTTTACGAGGAATAGAATAAGTTTTGAATATGGAAATAAAACAACACGGTAGGTAGTTTTAAATGACTTTTATTTTTCGAAGTATTCTCCACGAAGATTAATATACATCTACATGCGCTCGAACCAATTTTCGAAGCACTTATTCCGCTCGTTTGCTGGCAGATCCAAAAAAGGCATTTTTGAATGCGTCAACTGCTTCTGGACTGGAACCTTTGACCACGCAGTCTGTTTTTAGTTTTCGGGAAAGTAAAGAAATCGTTATAATTTATATCGGGACTATATGGTCCAATAATTCCACGTTTTCCTCCGTTAAATACTGCTTTGTTTTTTGGGCTGTGTGCGAGCTTGCATTGTCTTAGTGGAGGCTGATTCTTCTTTCGGGGTTGCTTTTTCGAACATCGGTGAAGGCTTTTGGTAAACAAATGGTGGTATACCAATCCGCAGTAACAGTCCTTTGCTCATTAACAGGAATTGTTGCAATATGACCCACTTTTGACACAGATGTCGCGACCATCCTTTTCGAAACACTTCGAGAACGGATGACTTTTGCTGGCTTTTCTTCACCTTGGAACACCCAAACAGCCGACTGTCGTTTATTTTCCAGTTCACAGCAGTAAATCCAAGATTCATCACCACTAACAATGCTGCACACATTTTTTGAGTTTCCGGAATTGAAACGGTCAAGCGTTTTTTGACACCAATTAACCCTAGCTACTTTCTGCTCTTCAGTCAACAGGTGGAGTATCCAACGAGAAACTAATTTTTTTACTCCTAATTTTTTGAATTGAAGTCTTTGAGATCTTCAAGGACGCCTAAATCTCGCGATATGTCACATGTCTATCTTCAATGATGAATTTGCGCACAGCATCGACGTCTTCCTGGGTGGCTGCCGTTTTTGGTGCACCCACCCTGGGATCGTCGCTAAGACTCACCCGTCCACGTTTGAATTCTCCATACCAAAGGGAAATAGTCGACTGATGTGGCGCTTCTTTGCCGAAAATAGACAGTAACTCAGCAAGGCATTCTTGTTGCGATAATTGTCTCTGAAAGTTGTAATAAATTATGGCGCGAAAATGTTCACGGTTGAGTTCCATTTTTCTAATAACTTGGTGACACTTAAGAATTCACTGTAGTGAGAACACTGCACGTATTGTTGTGAAACTTTGAATTTAAGTTTACTAAAGAGTGAGATTAAGATTCAGTACTGACGTTCGATTCGCGCGGGCTACTATGTTTCTATAGACATCCCTGGTATCTCACTTTAGATGAGGATTTATGAAGGTTCCAAGGTATCTGATGAATAAACTTCGTTGTAGGGGTGACCTTGAATTATAAGTTTACTGTAGTTTGGTAATGATGTGTGATAGGATGTAAATGTCATAAAGAACGTTTTACTGGTATTTATCGTTAACAGCTTATTACCGAAAAATTAGATATATGAGGTCTAAAAATTAAGTATTTTTTTTGGCACTAGGACATTGCGTCCCATTAGCCAGATCCAATCTTTGTATATGTACGTATATCTAATTTTGGACAAACACACGACGTCACAACATCCATGGCTTCGAAAATGTGATTTCCGAAGGCGACATTCAAACTCGCGGCCGGCCGGCTGATCAGTAGCATAACACTCTGACCCACCCGGCCAACCGAGGTCCCAGAAAATTAAGTAGTGTACCATAAAAGTAAGACTTGCAATGTACTGTTCGATGAAGCAACACTGTAAGTGCCGGGCTTAGAGGGGACACACTGGTAACATGTGATCCGCGTTCAGTACAAGTTTGAACTCGCTCGAGTCATTTGGTAGTCCGTAGCGACTTTTTTTTTATAAAACAGTTTTTTCTATATGCGATGGTGGTTTGAATAGTTTCCGACCTCAACGTGAAGATGGCAGCACTCGTAAATAAAAGCTAGTAAATTTCGTTGTTCATCTGTTGACAGTCACTCATCAAAGTTTTAGCAGTTATTATGTAATAGTCGTTTGAGTGTGTGTGTGTGGGTATCGAGCTGTCATTAGATATTTGTTTTTGAAAGACAATACGCCTACGCAAATCTAATATGGATTCTGTGCATGCGGATTCTGAACCATCATTTACCAAAGTGGAACTTTGAAATTTAAACGTGGTAGTAGGAGCTTGGGAGGCGATGAACGTTCGGGACGTCCAAATACTGCAATTACCGATGAAAACATCGCAAAAGTTCACCAAATGGTGCTAGACGACCGCTGATTAAAGTGAGCGAGATAGCAGAGGTTATGAACATGCCAAAAGAACATGTTTATCATATATTAAATCAACATTTAGGCATGAGAAAGCGGTCCGCGTTTGCTCACGTTAGACCAAAAACGTGTTCGAATGAACATTTCCAACGCTCTGTTGGCGCAGTTCAGGCGCAATAAATCCGAGTTTTGGAGCCGATTAATTACTGTGGATGAAACTTCGATACATCATTATACGCCAGAAACAAAAATACAATCCAAATGGTGGACTGTAAAGGGTGAACCGTCTACATAAAAGCAAAAACTGACCTTTCGATTGGGAAAGTAATGGAAACTGTTTTTCTGAGATAGTCATCAAGTTATTTTAACCGATTATCATCAAAAGGAAAAAAACATTACAGGAGCATACTACGCATCATTACTTGACAAGCTGAAGGCAGAGCTTGCGGAAAAGTCACCACATTTGCAGAAAAAGAAAACCTCATTTCACCAAGACAACGCACCGTCTCACACCCAGCGGTACGAAAATCGCGACTTACAGCTTGAACTGCTTGACCATTCGCTTTACTCACCAGACACAGCCCCAAGCGACTTCTTATTGTTCCCTCATCTAAAATTTGCGCTCGGGGGACAGACATTTTTGTTAAATGAATAGGCAATCACCTTCGTGAACAACTATTTTGCAGAGAAAAACGCCGAGTACTATTTCTACGGGTTACAGCGATAGGAGCATCGCTGGGAGAAGTGCATAGAGTTACATGGAGACTATGCTGAAAAAAATCAGAAAAAAGTCTTGTATCTTTGTTAGGTCCAGCTTCAGTTGGCCCACTTGGTAAATTTGCAATTATTGGCATATATTGACGATCATGTAAACTAATAGAGGCATAATTCTTAAGTTTTATTTTGCAAAGAGCATCTCAAAATTCTATTACATAAAAAACTAAACTAATTATAACACCTGGAGCTGACTAGAGTGAAAAAATGGGTAACAACAAAACTTCTGATTTTTATTTCTAAGAAACAAGAATTCGTAACTCATTTTAACACTGAGTAACATCACCTTTATTTTTAATTACAGCCTCAATTCGTGGAGGCAAAGTATTTATTAAGTCCTGACACTCATCTGTAGTGAAATTATCCCAAATGTTCTGCAGTTTTTCCTTGAGTTCTTGCACAGTCCTGGCAGGATGGCTCGCAGCCTGTTTTTCATGACGTGCCATAAGGTCTCGATAGGTGAAAGGTCCGGACTACTAGAACCCCATTCAAGGTCTAAAAGCCATTTCATGTTCTTTTTGGAAGTATGGGAGGCAGCACCGTCTTGCTGGAAGATGAAGTCATTTCCAGAGATCCTGCTCTGCTCCAAAGTAGGCAACACATTTTCTCTAGGATGTCTAAATATTTATCTGAGTTAACAATGCCATTGATAAAATGTAATTTGTCAACTCCTCTTGCCGACATTGAAGCCCAGACCATTACTGAAGATCGAAATTTAACTTTGCGCTTGAGACAATCAGGATGATAAGTTTCTTGATTCCACCTCTCCATATCCCAATTTCGATGGTTTTTAGCCCATTTTGACCTGTTTTGCTTCTGCTCTAGGGTCAATAATGGTTTTTCTTTAGCCTGCTACAAAGGAAACAATAATTGTCTCTTGTTGCTTAGGATTGAGCTCGTGAAACTTACCTTGTAAGTACCATAACCTAGTTTTCTTGCTTCTGAATGACACGTAGACCTGCAAACACGTCTTCCAACAGCTTCACTGCAGATTACACTCAACTCTCCGTAGTTAGCACGTCTATTAGACATGATAAGTCTGCCCAAAGCTCGTCTATCAGGGTCCGCTAATTTGGATTTTTTTACATATCTAGGTTTTTGGGAAGTTGCACCATTTGATTCGTATAATCTTACAATAATTCGAACACTGTATCTAGATAACCCGACCAATTTCACCGTTTGATTTTCCTGATTTATGCAAATTAATGATAATTTTCGAATATTTTCATCTATCGCCTTTCCTCTGCCCATTTTTGACAGCAACTACGAGGTACGGCCGCCTGATAAACTAAGGTTCGCTAAAACAAGCGAGCGTCGTTAACTTACAAGCATTGTTACCACTTCCGTCTTGACAAATCATCGTTAGCAATGTTTGAGTATTGAAGTTTTTTTACAGCTGTCGATTTTTTTTGACACAACATACTCTATTGAATCCAGATATTTCCTTAATTGCTATAAATAGCATATTTTATCTTATATCTTACGATATCTTTTATATCTCCTATATTCTAGTGGGTTTTTTGCCGATAAAAGTCCAAAAAACTACAAATTTTGTGTGTGGGCCAATTGAAGCTGGACAGGAATGGTATATATATGTATATATATATATATATATTTATTCACTTCTGATATGAAGTAGCATCCACCTACGCGAAAAATCCAGGTTCAAGTGGCATCCGGTACCGGACCAAAGCCTGTTTAGTCGCATATTATGATTGTGTAATTTCGAAAAACAAAAAATTAGGAGGCTAATTGACTCAGAAATTTGATTATCTATTTGTATTTTAGAGCTAGAGCGTATATCCGAGCTAGGACGGAGTACATTCATCACTATACAACCCGAGGCTAAGGTGGAATCCTCCAACACTGGTAACCACGTAATTGTTTGTAGTTTCATTCATAGGTCAATGTGGTATATATGTACTCTTTGCGTGTACCGTTCAGTTAAATTGCTTTTAAGCAATATGATAGATATCGTGCTTGAAAGGCGAGACAATCTGAGTTTATCTCTAGCGAGTTGGAATCAGGTTTGAGAAAAAGGGGTGACACGTGAATTGACGCTAAGTCACAACTCGTACGACTTTTGACCTCGTAAAACAACATGCTCGAAAACAATCTATACTATCTTTTATTTCACGGACCGAAGATGTGGGTATCTTTTTTTATAAGGAGGGTTGGGGGCATGGGCAGACTCAGAGGGGCCGCAATGGTCGGCAAGGGCAGCCATTTTTTCCATGAAATGATACATATTTCCGTACATGCGAAAATTAACTTGTTAGCCCTGAATC